TTATTTCTTACACAATTGTTAATGATAATGACATACATACTTTACAAGATGTCTGTACCTTTATAATTATCTGACTTTTTGATGAACTGGCTAGATACAAGTATAGCCGCATGATTTCATTGCTTTCCTCAGAGGTGAATATTCCTAAATAGATAAAGGAGAGAGGGGTAAGAAAACTTTATAAAAACATTCATGTGCCATTTAGCAAGGCTTTATGCTTCATAGAGTGGGCTTAATCCTATTCATACAGGAAATTACTATCCCATTTTCTCAGCTGCTCCCTGTGTATTTTCTTATTCCTGTGAAATTTAGTTTCTAGAGTTTGCTCTAGTTTCATAGTGAATGTGATACAGCTGGTAACTTTTCATCTTTTGCTAGGGTATACCAGTCACTTCAGAGGCATTATTGTTTATCCTCTGTGTTTGAAATAATCATCAGATTTGCTATCTCCAGGCAGTTATCACTCCTGCAGAAGCAAACACAGATGTTTCTAAAGCCTTCCAGTAAACGAAAAAAGCAGTGGCATTTATCCAAGCTTCACAGGTCATTGGATGTTCAAAACAAAAAGCAAACCAAAAGAACCCTCTCCACACCCTGTCTCCTTTACTAGCATGATAATTAGGCTAAATAACCATGTGCTTTGGTATTTCAGGACTTCCTAATATGCAGTGCTGCTGATCAAGATCAAGGGTGATTTTCCTTTCACTCATTGCTTTATAAAATAGCAGTGAGTTTTGCCTTAAACTACAATTCTAGATAAGAAGTAACTCAATAAAAATTGAATTTCATTGTTTTTAAATTACTCCAGTTCAGATTTAATCTATTTAAAGTATAAAGATGGTTTGGGCCTGAAACCTTAACCTGAAATCTTGAAGTCAAGCTGTGTCCTTTTGGGTTTCTGTCTCATGACCAGTACTGATGTTTGCACTTTTGTCTTCATATCTCATCCTCTGTTGCAGTTGTACTCTTGATTATACCTCTCCAGGTTGGTAAAAAAAAGAATTCTGATTGCAGAATTTTTATGTGCAACTGTGACTGAGTTGATGCTTCTATTGATGACCTATTTTCCCTAGTACCCAGAGGAATAAATTATGACTTAGGCTTGGATACTTGATGTGCTTACAGCAGTGTAAGCAGCACTTTCACCAGAGTACAAGGGGAATGGCAATATAATATACAGCTCTCTACCATTGTAACTTCAACAACCTGGTATAATCCTAGCCCAGGAAAAGTCACGGTAATTCTACCCTGGTAGGAGTCGCACCAGGCTAAGTGTCATAAGTTTGCATTTTCCAGGATAGCTGTTTGCCTGTTGAATTGAAAAACTTTCATCCAGTTTTTATCAGAAGAGTATTGGGCCAATTCAGTATCATCCCTAAGCATACTCTTGTGAGCACAAGTGTAAAAACCCTACAATTGATCTATGCACATGTAAGTTTCTTTGGTTTGAGTCATGGTTGGGCAGAGCAGAAAGAAGACTATGTACAGTACAAGTGAATGACCTATGTAACATATAACACCATATAGCATCTGGCCCATGGGCTCCAGCTTAGCTATGAATGTTGCTACTGCTTTATACCAGGATCTTCCCTCCCCTAGTTTCTACTTCCTGACCCCACTACCTTGGGGGTGGTTCAGTGCAGCCCACAGAGGCCTACAGAACCCATGGCCGGAACAAAAGCTGGGGGTGTCATGGGGTAGGACTCAGAAGGATGTGTCACAGTGGCTCTGTACATACATTCAAATAATCCAGGATAACTGTCCTGGGTGGGTTTTTTTCCTGAGATAAAAACTGACCTGTACAGAAGTTCAGACAGAGAAGCAAAGTGCCTTCAGTGGGGACACTGGGCTACCAGGGCTCCCTAGACCATACAGCCCAGAAAACTTTGCAAGGGTGTTTTTAAGTGAATGCAGACATGGATCATCAGGATCTAGGAAGATGGGGCAGGATCTGTGCCATGCACAGAAGAGTCCTCCAGCCTTTCTCCTCCCCTCTGCTGTATTGGGCCCAGCTAAGGCAGGGTAGGGCAAATGCTTATATGCTTCCCTTCACCCAAGTGCTACAGTGTGATTCAGGCAAGGAATATGCCAGGAACAGAACATGCCCCCTAAGTGCTTCAGCACTGTGCTCTTGCAGCTCAAAGCACTGAGGAGGTGTGCTCTGCTCCCTTCTTGGCTGCGACTGACACACACTTTCCCTTCCCCTGTGGTATTGGGAGAGAGAAGCAACAAAGCACATTGGCTGCCTGTACAGAAGTTCTGTCTTCTGAAAGAGTCTCTGGGGAGCCACTTCATTCAGGTTATTCCCGAATTATTTTTCTCCCTGAGCAGCCACTTTCATGAATTCTGTACACTCGTGTTTTCTCCTGAGAAAGCAAGGTCTCTCCCTGGAGAAATGGAGAAACTGAACATCTGTCCAAGCCCTGTGTCTATGTTGCCTGTAGGGTGAAGGAGAGGCCTCAAGAGGCCTCCAGCTGCTCAGAAGTCAGACAGCCCTTTATTAGGCAAACAGGCTAGAACCTGCTCCCTGCCATCTTGTGGCAAAGTATTAATGGTACTTCTATTAATAGCTACCCTAGAATAGGTGCTTGTCTTCCTGTTCCAGGTCCTAGTGTAATTTACATCAGTGTACAAAATTGTTGTAAATTATGTTGGTGCAAATATGTTCTGTGTCCAGGGACTTTTTGCTATCTGTCTATGGAAAGGAGTAACAAAGAGAACCCACTTTTGTCTCTACCCAAGTTATCCAGACCTTGTACAAGAGCATGCAGGAGTTAATGGGTGCCCAAACACCTCTTACTCCCTCTGTAGAGAATGTGGGCAGGATGACCAGTACAAGCAAACCAGAGCAGGAAGGTGAAAGCTAGTAATTGTCTACTATTATGAGCCAACAAATTCATGCCTCCTACAGCAGTTCTCTCCATGAGATGCCCCTTACTATGAGTTGTGTCATAGGGATGCAACCTAGCCTAAGAATCCACATAAATACATCTCCATGGTGAGGTCCATATTAGGCTTCCAGAAATTATGTCCTTTCCTCTTATCTAGGTAATTCAAAATAGAATCATTTTCTGTTTTGCTATGATAGCCATGGCATGCTGTCAGGAGCATAAAGCAATGCAACCAAGAGAGGGAGGTATAATTTGATTTTGGCTTGTAATGCCTCACCCAACCCAGCTTCCAATTAAGAATAGCATCAAGAGACCCACTGAGTTTGATTTTTAGGCCCCTTACTTACTATGCATTATTATTTAGTATTATTTTATGTTGCACTGAGCATTCATGTGTAATATATATCCTTGCGGTCCCTGGTATGAAATAGACAATACAGAACAGATATTTTATACATTTGGTGACCAGATGAAGGTCATGTTATTATGAAGACTGTTATGAAGACTGCTCTCCACTCCCTCTTCATATAAATCTTTTTTATTAGGAGTTTAGGAATAAAGAACATTCCATTTTTTGAGGCAACTTGTTATAATCCTTCAGTCAGAAGGCCCTCAAACTCACTAGGCAAGGGCACCTCAAAAATAGTTATTATAATGCCAAGGAACTCCATGATTTCCCTTTCATGCACTCTTTGGAAACCTAAAGAGCCACTGATTTCCTTATTCAATCACATGTACTTTCACCTGTGTCCATTCCCAGAGGCCCTAGAACCTCAGATAGAGACAGAGGGCAGGAGCTAGCAATATGAAAGAGGCAATATAAAGTGAGCTGTCCTTTCCTTAGGATTTCCCTGTGTGTAGTTTTATTTTTCTTCTTTGACTTTCTAGAGCTGGTTGACTGGTCTTTTAGATAGTTGGATTCCATCAGCCATTGGAAAACTAAGCAGCTTAAAAAATAGCCAGTCAAGAGAATACAACTGAGTATTTCAGTAGTTCAGGCTACAGAATGCAATGCCTTTACCTTTTTAAAATGGATCAGGAGAAAGGTGTGTTTGGGTGGTTACCAGAATGGTTAAATAAGAGCTTGAGAAGCAGTGTGAAGATATGCCTGAAAGCATGTCTGAGGCAGAGTAGGTTAGAGGATGCATGTAGGAGTAGGAAATTCCTTCTTGACTGATAGAAGGCAGCAATTTATACAGCCACTTTGCCAGGGCTGATGGAGCTGTTACTTTCTATATCCAGCAAGTAGTCTTTCTTTCCCAGTCAGTGAATGAAGAGGCACATGCCTTCCTCATTACTGCATTTAATCATTGCTGCCCGTCATCTATGAATTCTTTCTTTCTACTTTCCAGTCCATTTTGGTGATGCCTTTGGTCATACAGAATTTTTCTTCAGCCTTTTGATTTCTTTTTTTACACTGTCCTTAACTCTCCATCTCTTTTTTCCAATCTCCTTCAGCAGACTCTTTACCACTGAGAGTTGAATATTGGATTTGGAATGAAAATCTCTATTTTCAGCTACCTTTATGAAAACATTGTATGCCAGAAGAAATGAAAAGAAATAAATCCAAATAAGTCTATCTGAACTCAGATAATTAAGAAGAGGACTCCATTTCTATTTTTCAGGCCCTCCTAGATACATGAGCTCTGTGAAGTACTGATTGTCACTGAAAATCCTTGAGTTCTATTGGCTATGACCAAAAATCTATGTTGCCAAAGTTTCATGAAATGATGAGTGTGAAAACTATATTACTGCTTTGGGAAAATGGCAAGAATGTGAGAGTTGACTAATGAAGTTAGCAGTGTAAGTGATGTTTCATTTTGTTTAACATTATGTAAATGGGTTCCCAATGTAAATTACTATTGTCACTCTACCCCACCACAGCTTAAAAATTCTCCATTTCCTGCTCAACTTTCCTTTCTCCCACCTAAATGTCCTTTCTGTACCCCTGCCACTGCTTTCTCATTCTCAGTTAGGAAATCTATTGGCAGGTTTTTCTTACCACACATGTTCTTCTAAGAGATCTGTTCTGCAAATTATCCTGTGGTCCAACTCAGAAGTGATTAGTAAAGGAAGGGTAAGAGAAGAAACTCCAATTGCAGCTGCAGTGTCGCTTGTTAGGTGGGAAGAAACAATATGAAAGGGCATATTTTCAGCTGAGTATGTGGAGACTGAAATTCATAGATTCATAGATTAAGGGTCAGAAGAGACCTAGTAGA